TGTGGATTCAGTCAGGAGTTTAACCTCACATTCCGTGCCAATCAGGAGAAGACCCTGAACAGTAAACCTGTTTATTAAATCCAGGCTATGGCACTTTTTCACTTTGAAGCTATGCTTCACTGGGATATCTAAATTCCAATCTTCATTAGCCATTGAAAAGGCTGTTTCCAAATCTCTTCTTTCCATAGCAAGCATTCAAACCACTTAACTGTAACATTAAAAAGCGGCATCTCTTATCCACATTTTTTAAAAAAGTGTCTGAAATAATGTTAAGTGGAAGGCCTGTTCATTAACATTAGGAATGATCTAGAAATAACTGACAGCCTGGATAGTGCAGACCTCAGACAGGAAAAAGTCCAGCATATGGTTCTTGGGCAACATTAGGAAGAAGGAAGATACTCATCTAGTCAGACTGGGTGGTTTCTAGATATGCATAAAACCAGCATTGCTTCTTCAACCTGGAAAAAAGTAGAGGGAAGGTGGCAGAAATTTTAAAATCTTTATTTTAGATTTCTAGAATTTAGAAATTATTAAATCAGCATTAACATAGAGAATATGGATAAAGATACATTACAGCTCTAATACAGTCCTTGTATCAGAAGGGACACTAAAGGACACCACGGTAAGTAAGTATACAATCAGCAAAGGACACCATACTTCAAACAACAGACTGTTAATTTACAGAAGATACCAGTTATCTACAGGATGTTGCAGAAACTAAGAAGTAGTACCTTCTCAAAAAGACATCAGAGGAAAATCTACTCAGAGCTGTGAAATACAGAGTTGTTATGAAATTCCTTGAGCTACAAATCTTTGGGGAATGCCAGGATGTCTACACATAGGAACTCTTAAGGTGGTTTTGTGTTACATTCAGATCTCTAATCATCAAGAAAACTTGAAAGGCAACTGGAGAGGTGTTGGTGAAATTAAATGCTTATGGAGTTATGAAGCTGCAGAGCAGTGCTTTCTAGCTTAGTCTGTGTAAGAGTGTAAAACTATTCCCTGGTGATAATACTTTCAAGTAATTCCAAGTAGAGTCTAGAAACAAATCTGAGAGGGTGACTATTTCAGAAAAGGTAATATTCTCAGAATATATACATGCCTTTTAAGAAAACCAATAAAAGCGTGTAATAGTATGGTTGCTGTCAGCAGTGCAAGAATTTGGATTTGTTAGTGAGACTCATTTTGTAAGT